TCCCCTCCCCGCGGGGATGTACGTGCATACGGGCCTTGGACTTACGATCAAGGCTCTGCAAAGTATCATAGGTCTCATTTAAGAAAACTCACTTCTACTGAAAAAGCTTCCCTTGCTGGAAACGCGTAAAATACGTTCACCGTCTAAAATTTCATGAGGCCTTCTCCCGGCATATGTGTACAAGTGTATGAGAAAAAAGAGACTATGTTTGAGTTTTTGATTGCACTTGTATAGATTTTTTGGAAGAAATTCTGAGCCTTAACGCTGAATGGTGCTCACAACCATATTTAAGCAAGAAAACTGGCAACAAAGGAACTCAAAAGGCTTACAAAGAGGAGTACTTATAAATATCTATTGAAAGTTTATAAATATCTATTGAATGTTTACATTCAAGCAAGTACCTAGTGCCTTCAATATCCTTTTGTGAGATTGCTTGTGAGAGTCTACCACCGTACGCGAAACATGTTCAAAGGGAAACGCCAAAAGATTTGGAAGTACAGCCTGAATGCAGTTATTTGAAGAAACCATAAGTCCATGTATTTCGCTTTAAGCATGCTGTCGCTTATCATCAAGGCAAACTTGATGATGTAACTATTCGAATCATCTATGAGCGACTAGATCAGTACGCAACCGTCGTAAACCTTTAAGTCAGACATAGAGCAGTAGTAGTGGTAGATGTATGCTATTTATCTTTACAGAGATGGTAGAGCAAACCGACCTGATCGAATTGTCGAGCAGCCCATTGCTCGCAATGCATCAGATTCGCTCGCGGATCACGATATGGCTGTTTACATGGTGGAGGGACGGTGCAAAACGGATGTGAAATACTCTGAAGCAGAAAGTTTCACTCTTGCATTTATCATGTGAACGCAATCGGCTAAGTGCTCCTTACATAAATTACATTTTGTTCCTAGCAGATGACGCTAGTCAGAGCGTAGTTGAAGCGTAGAATGTAAATGATCAGATAATGCTTATTGTTAGAATACACACACATAAGCTTCAAAAGAAAAATTTACAGCTTGCAAACTGAATTCAAGAGAACAGGCAATAGACACTGAGGAGTCCTCATCTTCACTCGCGCATGATGAATTTTTTATTTGTATGAAGAGCCTTATCTGTTGTAATGTTGTTAATAACAAAATAGTCAAGTTTGAGATATCCATTTTAGCAGATGTCAGAGGCATGACGACCATATGAATTTGCACAGTAAGGCGCAAGCCATATAGAATCTTATACAGCTTCTTGTTTATGAGGTATTTTCAACTGTGGGTTTTCTCTAAATGTTCGAAGAAACCGATATTCGGCTGGACACATGTTCAAAATTATCTATATTTTCGAAATTTATATTTTATATTTTCGAAAAATAGCTCGGTTTTCCTTCTCTCGACTCAGCGAGCGGATCATTTTCATTGTCAGCCTTATGTCACTTAAGCGGACGTTCTAACTTTGGGAAAGGATCTGTGGAGGAACAATTCACATCTCGATTTGGTGCGCTAAGGCTACTCTAACAACTGCATCGGTGCTCGAAGGATGGTTTAGCAAGTGTCATAATATCATTAATTTCACTAACATTTTATTTGCAGTACCAGAAAATATGACTAGTTCTAAGATTGTTGGATCTTTCTTCTACCACATCTTTCTATTTATTATATTTGAGGTTACGAATTTATACCGAAAGTGCGCAGACTGACCGTGGAAAGGGTCTCATATATCAGTCTGTGAGGTAATTCAGAGTCCGTTTGCGAAAGATGGTACACTAAATCGTACAAGGTGTGATATCTATTGCCAAAAAGTTCGTAGTGTCCAAGAAGGGATCTCGTGATAGTCAGCATCTGCAATGGTGTAAGTGTTATAACTTTTACCTACAGGGCGAGTAAACCTTAATTTTGAAGGGCGATGCGACTAATTCAGCAATCCTGTCCAGCTCCTTTTCTCTGTCATCTTCGACGGGATTGTCCATTTTAGCATCTACGAGACGATGCTCCTCATTGGGGGTATGCTGCAGTAGCATATCAGATCTTTTTGATGAGTTCTGGATTGATTCTTACTAGAGCTCTGACTGGAGTAGGCGTTGACCGTCTCTTTCTCTTTGGTTTTTCTTGCCCATCTTTGGCACTCTGCTCATTTTTGGGATTGAGACAGTTGCATATTGCAAGCTCATGTGAGTAAAAGTCAGCTCCACGGAATTTCGTCACATCTGTAACTTATCATTACTAAGCCTGCTCAGCCTAAAAGTAATTTACCTGCTCGCTCAGCTTTCAAAATTTCTTTAGTTTTTCCCGTCTTTTTACATAGAAACATTAGCAAAAAGGGACGATAATCGTTCGGATCCGGATTCAAACAGAGAGGTGAAAAGATCACAAATAACCCTCAAAGGAAGGGAAGTACAATCTAACTATGATAGTTTCGAACATCGGAAAAAAGTTGTGTCAATCGTCTTAGGCAGAACAGTATGTACCTGGTCTTTGAGCAGAGCGGTCGCTCGTAAGGTACCGATATGCCACATCAACGTCGCAAATCCCCAAATACCAGAAAGATTGAGAGAAAAGTGCAGGGTTTTCTAAAACAGCCTCATGCTAAAACGATACTACAAATTGCTGCTTATCGTCATAAATTTCTTGTTTGCATGCCTAATATAGTGCAATTGATAGAACACTGGATTCATCGGCAACGCATAGATCTTCATAACACAAAAAGTTACGTTTTTCTTCATAGCCTTCTGACTAATCGAAGAGTTGCCTACTGACCTAATCAAAGAGAATCGTTAAGTTGCACATGCATAAAAGCCTTTACTTGTTCTCTATGGTTCACAAATTCATATAGTAGTCACAATAAGGTTCGCGAGCAGAAGACGGAAACGGCTGCCAAATTGCTCTTATATTTGTTTATATTTATTTGGTACGCAAGGTGTGCACATTCAACACAGAAACGAAGCATCACACAGTAGCAACAAAAAACTAGCAAACACCCCACCGAATCAGCTCAGGGTGGTCCAGTTAGCAAAATCTTTTTCAGGGATAGAAAGGGATTACGCTTATTTGAGCGAGCATGAAGTATATATGAGCCCTAATAATAAAGGGAATGCAATGCAAAAATTTTTAGTTTTAACGCAAACATTTATACTGAACTACTCGAAATCATGGAGCGACAAGTGAGCGATAACCGCTATTTAACAAAAAACTCTGATCTGCCCTCGATTAGTTGTAATGCCTTTCCATCTGTCACTGTTTGAAGGTAAAGACATGAGCTGTTTAATGCAAATCCATTATAGATTAGTCAGAATAATCTGTTTAGCTCAAGTTGCGACGCGCAGAGCTATAATGATAAACTGGCTGTTATGATTATCATCTATTCCTTGACCTTCGGTCCTCAGATTCAAAACTTTTCTTGTTCAATCATCTCTTCAAATTTTAGACGTTATTCGGCTATATATGTGGATACTTTTTAGCCCTGAACACCCTACTTTTAACTCATTGATGACGACGTGAGCTACCGGTGTCCAACGCATTTTTTGCCGTCAAGGAAGTTATGGACCACTTGTGGCCCACACCTCTTGCAAAACCATATCCTTTCCAAGTTCATTATTTCCCCGCAGTAGTATTTTTCCAATTTTTTGCATTGGAATCTGCATACTTTGTCTTCCAAGAAGATGATTGTACTTTTTGTCATAAGAACTTCAGTTTTTGTATATAATCACAAAACTTTCCCGCGCCGAAAGCATGTGCAAAATCGCGTCGTCCCACAGCGTCTCCTCGCAAAATCAGACGTCGTCGTCAATTGGCACGCAGATGTCATCGTTACACACCCACAAAGTGACTCTTTTAGAATGTACTCGCTGTACACGTTGCCTCTTCACCTCTCGACGATAAAACAAAACTTGTGACATGCGTGCATAATTATATACTCGCATTATATGCAGAAGTAGATGAATGTATCT